AAAAAGACACCTTAACTTTGCGTGCGTCCTATTACCCCACAAAACATTCAAAATCACAATAAATACACATTTTTTACACAATATTTCTACTTTGGACAAAAATATCCTTCGAATGTGCAATTTCTTAAAAACAAAAAGCGGGACCCATTATTGATGTATTCAAGGATGCTTTGGTAATTTTCCTATGATGAATTCGTTTGTTTGTTGTTTAAATTTTTTTAAATAATTGTATAAAATATTATAAATCACAATAATTATTTACTTAAATATTCAAAAGATATAAAAATATGTAAAAGATTTGATTAACTCTTCAAATTTTACCAGTGATGCATAAATTGGACAAATGAAATAATATATATTATTTGAAAATTACTTAGAAAGTACAATAATTTACAGTAATTAACAATAGAATATTTTAAAGACAAAAAAAATTGATTGAATCTCTAAATTTTATTAGTACCACATAAATTGAGAAAGAAGAAACAACCTTTATTATTTCAAAATTGCTTAAAAGATATTACAAATCATACAACAATAATTAGCAATTTAGAATGTTAAAAGACATAAAATTTTTTTACCATAGTTAACAATAATTAAAAAGTTAAACTATTTTAAATTAATATTAAAGTTTGATTAATTCTTTAATTTTGTCTTTGTCACATAAATTGAAACAAAAAATGATACATATTGGGCCCGTGCTAGCACGGGCTCCGTTGTCTAGTTAGTATATATGGATCAAAGTGGAACACGTTAGTGCACGGTCGTGTGTGGTGCACATAGAACTTGAACAAACTATTTAAGAAAGTTCCCGTTTAGACCTTTGACCTTTTTGCTTAAATTTAAAATTTTACTGATCAACATTGCACGAAAAATTAACAGTTAATCACAGAGGATAAAAATTAATAATTGTCTTTTTTTGTTGTTCCTTTACATAAAAAAACATTGTTAACAAAGAACGGAAAAGATCTATTTTTGACATTACATAACATGTATTATTTGTTATACCGCACATGTTTATTTGTGACTGAAAATCCATAAACACATCTTTATTGATTAAAAAAACATCATTTGACATTACATTTTAATAATAACAAAATTATTTGCTAATTTGTCTCGTAGTAACTCTCTACGTAGTTTTTATTAATTTCAAGTGTCTAATATCTGAAGTTAACTAACATAATTAATTTAGATTCATATCGATAAATCCGTTAAAGCAAGATGGAAAAACCCATCATTTTGAAAGTTCCAATATGCTACCTCGTACAACATTTAGAGGGATCTCAAGATGATACCAGATGCGGAGCCAAGATTAAAAGTTTGGGGTTCTAAATCAATTTGTTTGGGGTTCACAAGTTAATATACATAATTTTTTTAATTTTTTAATACAAATATAGAATTTACAAAAAAGTAAGTGGGTTCGTCCGAACCCATGAACCCCACCTAGCTCCACCTTTGGATGAAACTTAACTGAATTTGATGTAAGTAATATATGAAAGTTAAATTGTGTAAATTATTAGAGTAATAAAATACATGTCAAATATTTATTAATTTGGTATTTAGAGAGTGAATTCTACTAATGCTATTTTAATTCAATTGCGTGTTGTTTATTACTATTTTTGTCCACTTTAATTGTCATTAAACAAAAAAATTAGATATTCAAAAATTATATGAAAAGTACTATAAATTACAATTTTTTACATATTAATATAATGAAAAAATACGTGATAAAGATTAATCAAATTTTTTATAATTTGACTCTATAAAAGAAAACCAGGACAAATAAAAACAGACGGAGGGCAGTAGTAAACAAGAAATAAGCCGCATTTAAAATTACACGTATATCATATGGTTTGGTCTTTATCACCGACAAATACAATCTGTGAAAAATGCTTATCGGCGATGCTCTTCACCTCCCGTCTACGTTAGCCTCTGCAAACAGCGACGCCGTTAATTTTCTCTATTCGCCATGTCAAGGTACGCCCTTTCCTTGTTCATTTCGCACATTTTGCCTTTTTGCTCTACTTGTTTAGCTCTATGTTTTTATTAGAGTAGTAGTAAATTAAGTTGGCTGCAAAATAAATCCCAAGGTTTCTGTAGGCCTTTTGGAATTTTCTTCAACAAGCTTTTAACTGCTGTAAGTAAAACTCAATGTTTCATACTTTCTGTATTTATAGGGGCCCATGGGTCTGTTGGTAGGATTGGGGTACTTTTTGCACTAGGGCATTTTAGTTCTGCATACGAAAACGAACATTCAGATTTCATTGTGTAGTCATTCCAATTAGTGTTATTGTTCTTGAAACAGTATTTTAGTTGCACATATCAAAAGAGGGAATTATTTTTAGAGTGAAATAGCTACTGGTTTTACATTTTGCCTCTGCTAAGTTGTGTTGTGCTTGGAATGCAGAAACTTTTCAGTTGGTAAAACTAAAGGACTTGGACAATCCTTATGCCGAAATCGGACTACTATCTGCTCAGAACAAGCGAGAAAATTAGAACTTATTGGGAATGGTGTATGTCCTCCTATATGTAGATTTTATGGGCAATATGTATCTACTAGGGGATATGATTCATCTGTAGCACGTAGAATGCGTAATACTTTCTATGGGAGTTATTCATTGACTTCACCGGGAACAGCTGTAAGAAATCATGCAGAAGTTGCTTGGAAGAAGTTATCACGTAAATATTTCGATGAGGGGCAAACTTTTATTCGCTTAAGTCGATTTGCACAAGCAGTTAGCTTGGCATTGAGCAGATCTTATGTGATTCTCCCTAGTTTTCTTGCCATAACGTATGGAAGAAATATAGCACTGGCACAAGCATCACCAGACTTGGAGTATGGTCTCCCAATGACTAGCTTCTACAGGCATGCTGAAAACGGACATTTTTTGGTTACCTCAGTGCTGCATTCCATATTTGAAGGTTTTGTTCTGCTGTTGAGGGCCTTTTATTTGGGGATACTCTTTTCTCCTAGCATTGTAATGGCCCCATTTGCTGATGCATTTGGACCTTCTTTCAGGAAACTGTGGCTTCAGGTAGTCCGTAGCACACTCGAAAGAGCAGGTCCTGCATTTATCAAATGGGGCCAGTGGGCAGCTACACGGCCTGATCTTTTCTCTAAAGATTTGTGTACTGAGCTATCAAAGCTTCACACCAAAGCTCCTGAACATAGCTTCGATTACACGAAAAAGACAATCAAAAAAGCATTTGGTCGAGAGATTTCTGAAATTTTTGATGAATTTGAGGAGAAACCTCTGGCATCTGGAAGTATTGCTCAAGTGCATAGGGCTTCCTTGTTGTATCCATACCGTGGTCGAAAGATCAAGCCTATAGTGGTGGCTGTTAAAGTTAGGCATCCTGGAGTAGGTGAATTAATAAGACAAGATTTCGAGATTATTAATCTAGTTGCTAAGATATCACAGTGCATTCCTAAACTTAAGTGGTTAAGGTTGGATGAAAGCGTCCAGCAATTTGCTGTTTTTATGATGTCTCAGGTTGATCTTGCTAGGGAGGCTGCACATTTAAGCCGCTTCATCTATAATTTCCGCAGATGGAAGGATGTCTCTTTTCCAAAGCCTGTCTATCCCCTAGTGCATCCTGCTGTATTGGTGGAGACTTTTGAACAAGGGGAATGTGTTTCATATTATGTTGATGAGCTTGAAGGCCATGAAAGACTTAAAAGTGCACTTGCTCATATTGGGACACATGCTCTTCTAAAGATGCTTTTGGTAATATTCTCTTTACTTAGTGTGTGTGTTTGTGTTGTGTGTATAGATTAAGAAAATGTCCTCTTTGTGTTAATTTGTCTGAATTTGTGTATAAAGCACCACATTTTAATGTAATGTGAAACTCAGGATATACTTTTATGGAGTTGTACTTCTACAAATGCTTTTGGTTTTATTATTTTTATATATGTTTGCGTGTGGGGATAGATTTTCATTAAGAAAATGTTCTCTTCATATTAATTTATCTAAAATTTAAGTATAAAGCACAAATATTGATGCAAGTGTGTGACTTGAAATATACTATCAATGGAATAAAAAGGTCTAGTGCAATACAAAACTGACACTATATTAGATGTTGTTGTTCCCTCTCTAGCTATAAAAGCAAATGTGTTGGTGCAAGATTTGAACAAAAATGTGGAGTATGTATTCCAAGAAAAGCTTTAGTTATGCCTAATGTTGTTTGGCCAATATTGGGCTACATGGAAGTTCTTGTTTCTTCTCTTGGTTAGTATTTTAGTATGAATTTGTTTTTCTGTAATTGCTTATTAGTCCTTACTCCCTTAAAAGGAAACTGTTAGATGCTGTATTTTTTTTCTTTTCCCTTGTTAAAACAGTCTTGGATATACTATAGATTTGTTGCTTTACTGAGTAATCGGTGATATATTGGCCTTGAATACTGTCCAGAAACTGTACTC